CAGTGGTCCAGGATTGTGAGAGGGATGTCAGACTGCAGGGATGTCCGGCAGTCAGACATCCCCCAAGGGGTCCTGGATTGGAGAGGGTGCAGGCTGGACTGAGGGGACCCCCCTCCCCGTGTGCATGAATTTTATGCACCGGGCCTCTAGTAATACTATAACACTGGTTGAGCATTAATCATGGACTCTAAGTGCATTTCAATTTTAAATTCATTTAACTCTCATTACAACTAGGACGTTACTGTCCTCATTTCACATAAGATAAAAACTGAAGTACAGAAAGGTTAAATATCTTCCCCTACATCCCAGAGCTACTAAGTAAACAAAACCTGAGTTCATTCCTAGGGAGCCTGCTCCAGAGTTCATAATCACACACTATACTGCGACCCTACGCCATGATTATTGCTATTATCAATATAAGACTGAGTAAGGAAATAGAAGGTGCTGAAGCAGAGGGCTGCTTTTGACTGAATGATCAGGAAAGGCCTCTGAATCTGATAACAGAAGAGAGGGCCACATACATAAAGATCTGGAAGCCGAACATTCTAAGCAGAAAAAAAAAGTCCAGCATGTTTTAGAAACAGAAGGCCATTATGGCTGGAGCAGGATGAGTAGGAGAAATGAAAATAAGATGAAGTGAAACAGTAAGTACAGACTAGCTTGTACAGGATCTGAATTTTTATTTTAGGAAAGCACTGAATAGCTTTAGGTAGGAGATTTAAATAATTTGATTTATACTTTATAAAAAGACAATTTTGAGTATGGTGAAAATGAAGTGGGTAGGGGAAGAAGGGGCAGAGTGAAAGCAAAAAAATGAATATAGGTAGTCCGTTTCCAGTGCTAAACATTTACACTAGTACCTCCTTTATCCATGAGGGATAGGTTCTAAGACCCCTGGTGGAGGTCTGAAACCGAGGATAGTACCAAACCCTATATATACACTATTTTTTTCCATACATACTTACTTATGATAAAGTTTAATTTATAAATTAGGCACAGTAAGAGATAAACAATAACTACTAATAAAATGAAACCGTTATAACAATATACTGTAAGAAAATGTATGTGAATGGCTTTGGGGCCACTATCAAATAAAATAAGGGTTACTTGAATGCAAGCATTGTTACTAGTACACTGCCACTGTTGATCTGATAATTGAGATGACTAAATGAGTAAAGGGCAGGTAGCATATGCAGCATGGATACACTGGACCAAAGGATGATTCACATCCTGGGTAGGAGGAAGCAGACAGCATGAGATTTCATCATGCTACTAAGAACAGTGCCCAATTTAAAACTTATGAATTGTTTATTTCTGGAACTTTCCACTTATATTTTTTGATTGCTGCTGACCATAGGAGCAACTAAAACTGTGAAAGTGAAACCACAGAAAGTAAAACCGTGAATAAGAGGGGACTACCAAAGTGTCATTTGCTACTTAATGATGAATATATGCTCTGAGAAATGCATCATCAGGTGCACTTACACAAACCTAGATGGTATAGTCCACTACTGTAATTGTATGTGCTATACTTTTATACAACTGACAGCACAGGTTTATTTATACTAGTATCACCACAAACATGAGTAATGTGTTACCACTACAATGTTACAATAGCTACAACATCATTAGGCAATAGGAATTTTTCAGCTCCATTATAATCTTACGGAACCACTGCTGTATATGCAGTCCAACATTGACTGAAATGTTATGTAGCACATGACTGTATTTAACCTCTTTGCTCTAAACATAAGGTATAGGAATTCAGGTGAAAGTATAAAGTAGACAGATAGAAACAAGAATCCACAGTTCAGAAGAATGGGCAAGGCCAAAGATATAAATTTTACTTTGTAACCTCTCACATACAGGTAGATATTATTATTAAAGCCATGGGAATAGATGAGATTACACAAGGAACATAAATACAGCAAACATAAATACAGCATGAATGGAAGAAAAGCACAGACTGTAATCTGTGAAGTCTATTCATTCCTCTTTAGAGCACTTCTTTCATATACTAAAAACAGGAAATAGTGCTCACTGTCCAGAGGGTACCTGTAGCCTTTATCTTCCCTCAGGAGCTGGGTGAAGAAGATTGGTTCATAATGACAGTCTTGGGGTTGCTGTGCAATAAAAGAGCTGCTGCACGTAAGGAGTCGTTATCAAGTCCATAGATCTCACTAAAGACACAATTATAAGAACATAACATTCCTGAATCCATATTTATAGAAAGTAAGCCATTAATCCAATTATAACCAAGTTTGATATAAATGACCTGTGAAGTTTTATATATGGATCTTTATACCCTATGCTATTAAGGTGAGTTAATAGCTGACAGCAAAAATAGCTGCTCTGCTAAAGCCTCATAATAGCTGGCAAGATGGCACAAACCCTGCTTAGCACACCTAGAACATAAAAATGGCACAACTAAACAGAGAGAACACAGAGAGAGGGCATGGAACTTTTAAATACTTTACAAGTCAATTCCTCATACCTCTTCAAGCTAAAAAGTCACCAAGGAACTTCTAACTCTATCAAGGACAAATATATCCCATTTCCTGGCATAGTTTAGGAATAGTAATTGAAAGCCAAGAGAACTCAGTGGTATAAGAAATGCAATACTTTTAGTCTCCCTTCAACTTCCTCTCATCATTCTTGTTGTTTCTTGCCATGTGGAGTTGTGACACTCCTGGCACTCCACACAAAATAAGAGGCTGAGACCAGGCCTTTCTGCCTAGAGCACAGAGTGGCGGATGCAGAAGGGTCGTGCTAATCAGTTATTCACTAGGATGGTGACGGTCACAATGGACAGATGTGTGAATTACATAAAGGACTTCTGCTCTAGTGACTTCGAGAGGGAGGCTACCATTTTTCTTGAGCATGATGTTTGGCTGCTACTGGAGAGAAGGGTCTGGAGTTGAAGGGACCACATAAAGCTTCTCTCAGCTCAAGCTGTTTTTTCTGGCCCAGAAGGTTCTCCTCCTCACTGAAATCTCCATTCTTCAAAGCTTGGCTCAAGTCCTGCTTCTTTGATAAAGACGCTCATTACTATAACCCACCCGACATTTTCTAAATTTATACTGGCATCTAACCACGTAGACAAGAGAAAAATAACTGGTCAAGGTGCTTCATAATCAAGGGAACAAAATGGAATGGATGGTGTTTATTTGCTTGCATGTAGTTTTAAACTCTTGAATTTTCATATTATTTTTAATATAAACAGAAGCTCTCCTCAGGTGAACCAGATCTGGATATTTTCAGCTGTGGTCAGCTTCCTCTGAATCCCACTAGGGTTTGGTGATGCAGAGTAAACAAGGCTATAAATCAAATGCAATGCATTTAATACCTCAATGCATTGTAAATTGATCTGGAATGGGGGTTAGTTCAAATCATTTTTAAAGTGGAAGTGGCCCCTTACCCTGAAGGGAAGGAATGGAAGTTAAAGATAGCAAATCCAGAATTATATGGGATTCAGAAGTATGGCTGCTTATTAGAATTGAGTCCAGGTTTCTTCAGGTGAGATTCTTCAGTTACTTATCAGGATGGAGCCATGGATATTTAAAAACACACATCTTGGTGGCTGGCATTAAATCTGAAATCTGGTGGGCAACCTTTCAAGAAATAAAAGCTACAAACAAAATAGCTTTAGTTCCATTCAGCACGCTGTGGGAAATGGCTAATGGACAAGAATTACTATGACTGGCAAGGCGAGCTGCCAATAAATGAGAAGAGCAGAGACTCAAAACCACCACATAACAGCAACGCTTCCTAAGCTTATTCCACTAATTTGTCATTATCTGAAATGAAAGCAAAGTGAGGTTGCAGAGCACAGGGGAAGGAACTATTTAAAAGTAAAAGCTATGCTTCTTTTCTATTGGTTAGTTATCTCTGTTTTGAGCAATTATGGTTTACTTCTACCATTTCCTGATATTACATTTTGTTTTACTGAAGGCAACATTTTCTCCTTTTCAAAAGACAAGCAGAGAGCTATTTCTGGTAGGAAAAATTATCATTCTGCCTTGTCTTTTTCCACTAGGAAGAAAGGAAGTCTAGTGGTTAGACGGAAAGAAAGTATGGAGTTCTGATATGCCATACCTCAGAGAGGGATGGGGACCATATTCTCTTCTCACTTGTCTTTTTTCTTTTTTTCTAGAAGAAGAAAACCTAAGTGCTGTATCCCCCATCTTTTCTCCATCTTTAACTCTTAAGTCTCAACTCTTCCTTATCATTTTAAACAGACAAACTAAGGGTTAAGTGGATCAACACTTTATAATCTCTGAGATTGTGGAATGGAATGAAAATTATCCCATCACAAAGGAAGAATGAAATCACTTAATTGTTTAGTTCAAATCAGTCCAAAATCCAACTATTAATACCTTAAATTCTATTTTGGATAGATTTTGTAGTGTAATGGGTAATGTAAAAGTGTAATGGTTTTCAAGTAATGGAACAGAGCACGGACTCTGGGGCTGGACTACCTGGGTTCAAATTCTGTTTACATAACATACTAGCTGTGCAGGTTTAGATAAATTAATTTACCCTCTCTATGCCTCTGTTTCTTCATCCGTAAATGGAGAATAATATCAGTTGTACATCATAGGTTATTGTACCTCGCAAAGAGAAAGCGCTATACAAATATTTACTATTAAGAACATTTCAGAAAACTTCTAAAGGACATTATGTTAATCTCCCTATTCTTTGTTAGTTCTATTAAACAGTTACATGTGAAACCAAGTATAAGTTCATCGGTTTTAGGTCACAAAACAACCCTTTTGCTAATCACATAAGGAAAAAGGATAAAAATGAAATCCTTCATTCAAAATTAGCTTTAACTGAAACTAAGATTTTACCAATCACATAACCATACACTTGACTTTTAGAGGCAAGACATTCTACTTAAACCTATATGCTTCAATGAAAAACACATGTGACAGACAATAACAGCTTATTCTAAAACATTTACATAATTTGAAACATTGCTCTATGAACAAAATACATACTTCTGTGGTGATCTGTTATCAACTTCAGCCTTCAGTCGTAAATTCTCCCTCACTAGGCCACCATTTTCCAATTTTAGTTTTTTATTTGCCTTAAAAAAATTAAAAATAATTAAGTATAAGCTAAAGTAAAAATGCCTTGTAAAATTTATAACATGAGCCACCAGTATTTTTTAGAGTGATAATAGCAGAAAACTGAATGCTGGAACATGGCCTTCGGAAACTTAAAATCACCACTGGGAATGACTTATGAAATTGTGAATACAACCAAGCATTTTAAATCCATATTCCCCAAGCAAATCTCCTATCCAGGGAAATAAACGGAGCTATGTTAGTTACGAGTCATTAAAGGACTATACTAATGGTGATTTTTTTTCCTTTTTCACATAAGTGAATATTCTAAGCATGGTAACATTATACGATATGCAATTATTCACAAAACTAATGCTAAGAGTTAATTCTTGAGCTATAATATTGATTTTTGGTTGCTACTTAACAATAGTTTTTTAGTGGTAACAAATCTAATCTGATTAGATTTGCTTTCTTTCTTCAAAAGGCTTCCCCAAATGCTCTGGCTCACAACTTCTGAGACTCTCAAAATTGAGTTAATATTTTCTAATCAATTCTATGGATCTCTTGATTAAACAATAAAAAACCAAAGTATGGTTTTCTTTTTTAAATTCTGATACCTAAAAACTGCTTAACAAAACATTAATTGCTAGAAAATCTAGAGCAAGCATGTCAAACTCAAGGCCCATGGGCCACATTCAGACCGCAATGAATATTTTTGTGACCCAGCCAATATAGTGGTATGTAAGAAACATTTTAATAAAAATGTCATAACTTAATATTTACAATATCCTGTTATACATAATTATTAATAATGAACTACAATGTTCGCTAATGACTGGTTACTATTATCGTGTTGCATTCATTTCCCTTACACGCCTTACCACACAGGCGCATCATTTCTCTCCACTAATACTAGCAGCAAATATTTTAGCAGCTAATTACCACGTCATTACTCTTACACTGACTTGTTTGGTGTGCGCAACAGGAAATACTTCGCTTTCGGAGAACAAGAAAAATAGCTTTATTTGTGTTACGGTTATTAATTTGTGCAGTTACTCAGTTTCTGGTAAGTTAATGTTCAAGAAAAAAATATTAATTTTTATTAAAATGTTCTATTATTTTATGTTAACGATTACTCATTTATTTCAGCCCTTTGTATTCAGCATGTCTCTATCGAAATAACCCTACGTTTCTATGAAAATTGAAGCTTTTGTTTTTTTGCGGCCCACATAAACTTAAACCTTGTTTATTTGGCCTATGTTAGCCTTTGAGTTTGACATGCTTGACCTAGAGACCCAATATTGATTCTGGACAGCCTAAAAAGAAGTGTGCTAGATTGTAGAGGTTTCTTAAAAGTTACTCCCCTTAAATTCCCTAGTCATTGCATTTATTAATTTCATAGAAAAATAAGACTCCCTGGAGTAGAAATCAACCTCATGAACCTACAGGAGAAATTCTTTGTTAGACTAGAACATTCACATTCAAAGTGAACAGGTCACAAGAACTGTTGTCAACAAAAAGGTTTAAACTAAGAAGACTTAAAAACAGATTTCAAAAATTTGACCAATGTTTTTGACCAATTTCCAGAAGTTCTGACTATATTACTTGCCTACCCACATACAAATACCCTAAGAGAATGACAAGAGAAGCAAGGCAGAGAACATTCTGTTGGGCACAAGCCTAACTCTCTTAGATTCATCCAGGTTCCTTTTGGGCTCTGAGTAACTGCTTGTCTTTATGGTTGTAAAACAACAAGGATTGTGGAGGGTTAATTCTTTAAGTTACTGATAAACACCATTACTGCCTCTCTAAAGATATAAGGAAAGTCATTTACTTCCTCAGAGACACAGACAATGAATGAAGCTCTCAAGCACAGCACCATAAGAGGAGGAGGCACTTAGTGAATGCTTTTTGATGATGTTGATAAGCTTAAATTAGAAACTCATTTGAGATTTCTTTTCTCCATCCCCTCCGTATTGTATCATTTTATATTAAGGTCTCTCGCCAGCCTATGGCTCTCTTTATAAGCTGGCTAGTTCCTCAAATATCAGGAGATATTTTCAAATTGAGAAGGGTTAGGAGGGTAAAGATTACACAGGGTAAAGTTCTGCCTATTTTTTGCATCTAAGAGAGTAATGAAGTCTTCAGCTATTTTGTATTCTCAACACTGACTGGGTAATGAAACTAGCCTCATAAAGGTTCAAAACTCATTCTGTCCTGAAAACATCAAAAAAAAAAAAAAAAAAAAAGGCCATTTCACTCATTCTAAATAGTCCTTTATTCTGAATTTTTTGTACTCATTTTGATTTATAGTATATAATTTTATACTTCACATTTAAGTTTTTCCCCTGTAGTCCATGTTTTTAAATTCATTTATGCCCCAGTTTATTGCCTAGTACTTCTAATACCATCACTAGGCATCCAAAAATGGGCTTACTAAATATCCCACATAATTCTGAGGTCTCAGGATAGCTTTGAGTATTGAATTAACATGTGGCCTTTAAAAAGCAAAGAAAAACTGTGTTTTATGTAAATTTCTTTTACATACATCCCCTACACCACTCTTAGGAGCCCAGAGTGAAGTTTTCATACCAAGCCTCATGATCTAAGAAACGCTGATTGCCAAAAACTTAAATAAAGTTTAATAACTATAAATGAGATCATATAGAACTTACTGATCACTCAAGAAGAGGAAGGGAAGTTAAAGGAGACATGGTAGATTGATAACAGTCTAACTTCCCAGTTGTCTGTCCTTTTTGTGTCCTCTTAGACAAATGAACATGCTAATAACGTTAGCTCTCAATTCCAAAGAACTTCACACTTCCCCTAAGCCTGTAATAAATTCAGTGCCATTATGTAGTAGTTTTGTTTATTTTTTTCTCTCTAAAAGCATAAAGTTCCCTTCTTTCTCTTATCTGGGCCTTTGCTGAGCCCAAATAACATTTCGTGTGTGTGTGTGTGTGTGTGTGTGTGTGTGTGTGTGTGTGTGTGAAAATAGTTTAGTATTTACACTAAGCTGCAGATATTTTTCTGCTACTTAACCTTACTAAGGATCTGAGGACGAGTATGTGGTACTACTTTAAAATATCATAGAGAGCCCATTAATGATTTTAGGAGGTGGGATTTGGTAATTCAGCACAGTAATAGTGTTTTAAGGGAATGTAGATACTTTAAATGGGTGGCTATGGATCTGGATATCACAAAACCATCTCTATTCAGCACAAAGGACTCCATTGTGGATAAACTTGAAGTCAAACTAAAGGATGGTCCCTTTGGCCAACAAAGCTCAACAGGACTTGATTATAATCTCTAGTGATGATTGCATGCATCTCATCTCCTTTCCTAGACTGGAAAATCCTAGAGGTTTGGCTCTTTCTCTACTTGTTGGGTGGATGGAATAATAATTTGAAAAAAAATGAACCTACCTCATAAGGCACAATATTCTTTTGCATAAAGTAGTCTAAAGAGGCTACTTATAGCTCTCTTGATATTAGTCATTATGCCTTTAACTATTTACAATATTAAATATCAGAGAGTGGTAGTGCTAGAAAAGATATAATCCAAGTCTTTCATTTTTAGGTAGGGAAATGGATATGTGTTTGTTTTTATGCATACAGGGCAGTCACTGACATAAGCTTTAAAAAAGTTAAGGTAAACCACAAAGAGGGGAAATAGAAACACATCCTTTAAATTGATGTCACTCTCCTACAAGAAGATGCAAACTCATATAAAAGCACTAAGGTCTCCAATTATAGTCACAAATGGAACCACCTTATATTTCTTGGCAGCTAATGACATTTAAGGAGAAAAAGTTTTCCTATTCCTTATTAATGCTCATTCAGGGATTTTTGTCCTTTCCTCACAAACCATCTAATGATGAATCAAGATAATATGGCTATTTATACTTCTGAAGGTACTTACAATATTATAGAATTTAAACAAAAACTATAATAGAAATTTAAAAGCTACATATATTAAAATTTTTAAAAGATCACAACTTACCTCCTTTAACTTATCCACATCATCTTTCACTTTTTCATAGATTTCATTAGCTGTTCTAAGTTTTTTCTTCCACTCTGCTACAGTTTCTGGGTCAATTTTACTTGAATTATCTGCAACTGAATGTTTATCTTCATTTTGATTGCCCTGCATCAAGGTTAAAGGATCTAGAATAGTCTTGATCTGTGACTCCAAGCTGAGATTTTTATTCTTAAGCTCTTCTACCTCTTTCTGCAGACAATCTATTTCATCCTGAAAAGCATTGCATAGCCATTAGGTAGATACAAACACTAAGCACATACATATACTAACCTGAGGCCAATGGGTTTTTAAATTTTATACTCAGAATTCTGTAGATACACAAATTCTTTATTGATACATAATTTATCTGATACGAATAGTTTTGGATGCAGAAAATCACAGTTGAAATTCTAAAAATGTATTTCGACTTAGATAAAAACTGGCATTCCAGTAAAAAACAATTGGCATTTCCACTGATTTCATTTAGATCCAATGATAATTTGTGGTTTTAGAAAATAAAAATGTCAAATCTTTTATTCTATTTAAGATATCCAGGAAACAAGAGTCACATGAATTCAACAAGGAAATAGATTCCTCAGAAGAAAATTCTAAGGCATGTTTAATTGCTTTACTAAAGGAAATTAAAAAAATACAGTCTTGATGAAGGTGATCTATAGTTTTGTTTGATGTTTATATTTTTGCTTCTGTATTTGAAGTAGGAGTTGAAATTATAAGCTATTTCCTCCCACTTTCCATTTCAGAATAATACCTGTAGTTAATTTTTATTTTCTACATTCTGGTTCTTCAATAACCACTGTGACTATTCTAAGTATTAGATTTCACCATCTGGAACTGCTTATAATCTTAAATCCAACTGCTAAACATTTGGACTAGAACTCTTCTCTGTAATACCAGTTATTCATCTAAAACAGGTATTACTTCTTAAACTAAGACCATGAGAAATTCTGCTGTTAGAAAATAAACTACAAGTAGCTCAATATGCCAGGGATCTCCTAAAGGATTAATTTGATGAGTACCTAAGTATGATAAATATTCATTAAGTATGTGAGAATACATTTCAGAATTAACACAGTACTATTTACTATTTCAAATCACAATACATTTCATGTTAAATAGCATTATAAAATAAGAAAATCACTTTATTTGAATTAATATATTAATGAATAAACAAATATAAGCAGAAACACACATATATGAATAAACATACCAGTGAATTTATCAGAAGAAACAAAAACAGAATGAGGACTACAGTCACCGATTATCAGAGCATTCATAATGCCTTGTGGGGGCTGGAAGATTGACTTTCATAAGAGGGTTTCTTTTATCTCCCAACTTCTTGAGAGAGCAAATACTTACAAAATTATGTGTCTGTTGAGGACAGATTTTAAATTAAAACAAAGTTAAAAAAGGAAATGCTTCTATCTATTCCTTTCCTCCATTTGAAATAGAAAAGGAAAAAAGAACTCATCAAATAGGATATTTTGAAATTGACATTTAAGTAAGATTTCATTGGCTGTTTACTCTAAGAAGTCCAAGGCCCGAGATAGCTCAGTTTTACCTTGAATTCAATGCTGTGATCATTTTAAATTTTAATTATTATTTACCTCATATTCTTTGTGGAGTAACTCAAGTCTAGTTTTCCGAAGGTGCTTCCGGACTGTATGGCTTAGCATAGGTTCACTTTCACTTGTCCCTCCTATGTGGAAAAAAACAAAACCTAACTTTTCACTCTAATTTGGGCAGAATGAAAATGAACCTTTTTCTTACTGTTTTATATCGTGTCCTAGCTTAATTTTTACTTATAGACATACTTGGAGCTGCCATCTTGGCCTTTTCTCTATCTCAAACTGGAGAAAAGATAAGTGTCAAATAACACCATAAGAGAGAAACAAGATGGCAGTGTAGGTAAACACGGGTACTTGCCACCTCCCACAACAAAATGAAAATTACAACTAAAATACAGAACAACCATCATTCAGAACTGCCTGAAATCTGGCTGAATGGAAGTCCTACAACTAGAGAAGTAAAAAAAGTATATTGAGACTACCAAGTCCAGGAGACATACCAGATCCACCTAATACATAGAAATAAACACAGGAAAGTAGCCAAAATGTGGAGACAAAGAAACATGTCACAAATGAAAGAAACGGAAGCAAGCAAACTACTGGATACAGAGTTCAAAAAAATGGTTACAAGGTTGCTCAAGGATCTTAAAGAGATCTTCAAGGGGCTTAGTGAAACTTACAAGAATCTTTATGAGAATTTCAAAGACTTGAAAAAAAACCAGTCAGAAATTAAGCATAAACTAACTGAAATAAAGAATAACTTAAAGGGATTCAACAGTAAAGCTGAGAATCAAATCAAGGATTTGGAATATGAGGAAACAAAAAACACCCAATCAGAAAAGCAAAAAGAAAAAAGAATCCAAAAATATGAAGATAGTATAAGGAGCCTCTGGGACAACTTCAAGCCATGTATACCAACATACACATCATGGGGGTGCCAGAAGGAGAAGAAAGAGAGCAAGATATTGAAAACCTGTTTGAAGAAATAATGACAGAAAACTTTCCCTACCTGGTGAAAGAACAGACTTACAAGTCCAGGCAGTGTAGAGTCCCAAACAGGAGGAACCCAAAGGGTGCCACACCAAGACACATCATAATTAAAATGCCAAAAGTTAAAGACAAAGAAAATTTTAAAAGTAGTTAGTTACCTCCAAGGGAGTGCTCTGTTGACTGTCAGCTGATTTCTCAACAGAAACTTTGCAGGCCAGAAAAGAGTGGCAAAAAATATTCAAAGTGATGAACAGCAAGGATCTACAATCAAGATTATTCTTCCCAGCAAAGCTATCATTTAGAATTGAAGGCCAGACAAAGAGCTGCACAGACAGGAAAAAGCTAAAGGAGTTCAGCACCACCAAACCAGCATTATATGAAATGTTGAAGGGTATTCTTTAAGAAGAGGAAGAAGAAGAAGAAAAGGAAGAGGAAGAGGAAGAAGGAGAAGAAGAGATAAAAATATGAACAATAAAATGGCAATAAGTTCATATCTATCAACAATTGAATCTAAAAATCAAAATAAACAAACAAGAAATATAATGAACAAAATAAACTAATTAATAAAATGGAAACATGGAACAGACTGAAGAATCTCAGAGAAAGGGGGGGGGGGAGAGATCAATCCAAGATCTTATATGCATATATGCATTACCTATGGACATAGAAAATAGGGTGGTGATGACCTGGGGTGGGGGTGGGAACTGGGTGGAGGGGGGCAATGGGATAAAAAGGGGGACATCTGTAATACTCTCAACAATAAAGATTTTTTTTAAAAAAGTTAAATGCAAAAAAAACACAAAAAAACCCCCATAAGAAATACTTCAGTTGAGTTCACTTATCTGTGTACCTTATTATAGTAAACTCATTAAAGGTAAATGCTATATTTTATTAATTATCACATTTGGACTACCAGACAATTCTTAAATAATGATAAAATCAATGATTATACTTATATTTAACCAATAGATTATATAAATAATGTTATCTATATACTTCATATATAATTATACATATATTATCCATATATCATAATATATAATACACATACATTGTAATATATATTATTATAATCAATTTATTCATTCCAACATACCTAATCACTGATAACACCCTAAAAAGATTACAGTGCCATTTCACTGATTTTAGCAACCTAGTTACAATGTATTATAAATAAATCATAGCATTATTGTATGCCAATAATGACTCATTACAAATACATTCTAAATGAATTCTTCCCAAGAGCTCTTCACTTAAGCTGTGGTTACCTTCTTTGTTCTTCTTAGCATCATGATAGCAAAGGCATTTTACAGGTGTTCTTTTTCAGGACATTCTATTCAAATGCTATAGATGAACTATTTTACTTGAAAGAACTTATGAAATATTTCTTAGATATGAATGAAAGAAGCCATGAGAAGAGACATGAAGAGAAGCTGCTAGAAAAAACATTTAAATTATTTTAATAATCTAACCTCATATTTTGCAAGAAAAGACTTGACTCATTGGTGAAGTTTAGTACAGGTAAAAAACTAGAGGCAGAGAGGTTAATACTACAGTATGCAGCACAGCAGAGAAATATTCCTCTACCAGTCCTCACCCAGGTACCCACGGAAGAAACCTTGAAGCCATCTCTGATTCCTCTTTCAGATCTCTTGGTTCCAAAGTCCTACTGGTTTTTATATTCTAGCTTATATCTTCCATTTCCACTGCAAAAATCTTATTTAAGTCTATTTCCACTACATTAGGACTAACACAATGACTTCTTAAGGTTTCTGAAAGGTGTTTCCTACACATAGCTAATGATATATTCACTTTCAATTTTTCCTGGAGCAAAATCAAATAAAAATCATTTTAGTTTCTACAATCTAAGAGAAATAACTTATATGAGCAGAATAAAAATCCAACTCTTTAAATGTTTTATTTTTCAAGGGTGTTCTAGTTCAAGTTTTATCCTCCCTCTTACCTGCACTAGTACAGAACTGAATGTTCTTTTTTACCCTTAATCCAGATTCACATTCTCCCTCACCTGGGCAAGAACCTCCTACCTGACCGTCTCACATCCTGTCTCTCCCGTACAGCCTAACCTACATGATCACCTGAGTGATTTTCCTCAAGCACTTGGATCATGCAACTTCCTTGCTCAAAACAATCATATGCACCTCACCCTTCTTCTTACCCAGAGAGCAAGTTCCTAACTTGTCACTAAAGTCTCAATTTACCGTTTTAGTCTTATTTCAAGTAGTCAATCCCAAACTACTGATAATTTTCAAAAACATGCCTTTTGTTTTCCTACCTTTAAACTTTAGTTCATGCTATTCCCTCTGCATAAAATACCCTCCCTAATCTTTACCAGGTGAAATTTTATCAATCCTTAAATCCCAACATAAAGGCCACCTGCTTCTTGAAACCTTTCTCAATGTTGCTAGGTGATCTTTCTTGCCTGAACACTCCAGGCCTTTTCCTGGCCTTTTATGTGCTGCTTCCAACTATTAATATTGTGGCCCATGTGCACAACCCCTATCAGAATGTAAGTTCCATGAAGCTCTAAGACTTCTCACAATGCCTTGTGCACCTCAGTTGCTCCACGTATAGATTATACAAATGACCAATCCATCCAGTATGATATTGGCAACATAACATCATTGAAAGTTGTCTATGTTGGTCTTCCTCCAAATAGACACTATTTAGAGATTGTTTTAAATCCATTTCTTTGTGCTCAGAAAATAGGCCCTTACCGATAATCTCTTTGCAAGGATTTTCAGGAGTGATGGGGACTCTGCAAGCTGGACACTGGCTATTATTCTTCAACCACAAATCGATACAAATTGAACAAAATACATGGTTGTTGATGCATATGACAGGCTGGCGTACCTTTGAAAAAAAAGAAACGTTACTTTTAGTACAGGGCAATAGTCATAACTAGAATCCCTATAGATTTAGTTAAGAGCAAACAAATTGCTTCTCTAGCGCACAGCAGAGTAGCTACTTCTGTTACCACATTGTTTCTTATCTATGTTTAACAGAGATACTAGCTGAGATCTTTGAAACTTCTGACATACAGGGTGGGGCAAAAGTATGTTTACAGTTGTTCATTTGGAAATTACAATAATTAATAAGTAATAATATAAGAATAAACTGTGATTCTCGTACTCACAATTGTAAGCCTACTTTTGTCCTATTCTGTATTATGAAATAGTTTTATTTTGTTCCAAATCACACTCAAGTCCAAAAAGAAAATGAATTTTGTTCTACTAAGGCTGTGACAATTTTCCTTCAACTATTTTAGAATTATGAAATGAGGAATAGAAGGTTCTTAAAAGATCATTTAGTCCAAACACCCATCTGATACTTGAATACTTCCCTCAATTGATTCTACTATATTAGAGAGCAACAGCAACCAACAATTGAGCATTGGCATCTTACTGAAAAGTCTCCCAAACCAGAGGCATGAAAGCTAAAACAACCCTAAAAGACACGAGTACCACTCTCAGGTGGCTTATAATCTAAACAGCAAACAATAATGACAGATATTGGCATACATATAATACACAAATCTCTGACTTCATTTAAACAAGTACATATAATAATTCTTTACATTTATATAGTCATATATTTTACAAAGGGCTTTCACATACATTTTCTCTTTCTTCTTCTTTTTGTTTTGCTTTGTTTTTAAATAACCCAGTGAGGTTATTTAAAGAGTAAATATAATTTTTTTTTTTACCCAGTAAAGAGTAAATATAATTTACAAATAAGGAAACCCATGTGGTTTGCTCAGGGTTAAGTAGGTGTTTTGACTGTGTTTAATTGTTTTATCAGAGGGAAAATAAAGAGAAGTTGCTTTAGTTGTACCTGACATCATGCATTGGTTATTCACATATTTATTATCTATCTCCCTAGAGGGAAGATAAAAGAGAGAAATTGCTTTAGCTTTCTATCTGATATTACATATTTGTTTACATATTTATTGTCTATCTCCCCTTTTAGAATGGAGGCTCCATCAGAGCAAGAACTTCCCTTAGTTTCATTCGTTCCTAAATCCCTACTGCCTAAAAGACAGCCTAGTACACAGTAGGTACTCAACAAAGGTTTTGATGGATGAAGTAACTGCTATTAAGACAGTACTTAGCATTCAATTCAAGTTGGGGAACTTGACAGAGGGAATAATGACTTAATATTCTTCAACCAGCACAAATTTAACAATAAAGACAAAAAAGAAATGCTTAGATTTTCACTTGATTTACATGGCACTTTTACTGCAGGACTCAAAACACATTATAGCCATTGATAATATTTTCTTGTTCTAATAATATTAACAACTAGAAGCCCAGTGCACGAAATTTGTGCATGGGAGGGGGGGTTATCCCTCAGCCCGACCTGCACCCTCTGTAATCCAGGGTCCCTCTCGCAATCCGGGACCGCTGGCTCCTAACCACTCGCCTGCCTGCCAGCCTGATCCCCCTAACTGTTCTCCGCTGCCAGCCTGATCCCCCTAATTGCTCTCCCCTGCCGGCCTGATCCCCCTAACTGCTCTCCCCTGCCAGCCTGATCCTAACTGCTCTCCCCTGCTGGTGTGATCACCCCTAACTGCCTCTGCCTTGGCGCTGCCTCCATGGCTTTGTCTGGAAGAACGTCTGGTCTAAATAGCATATTGCCCTTTTATTAGTATAGAGGCCAGGTGCATGGGTGGGGGCTGGCTGGTCTGCCCTGAAGGGGGTCCTGGATCAGGGTGGGGGTCCCCTTGGGGGTTGGGGCCGGCCTGGGTGAGGGGCCTGGGGAAGTTTGCAGGCTGGCCACACACCAATTGGGGTGGCGGGGTCCCCACTGGGGGATGGGGCCAGCCTGGGTAAGGGGCCGCCGGGGGTTTGCAGGCCAGCCACGCCCCCATTGGGTAGGGGTTCCCCCTGGGGGCAGTGCCGGCCTGGGCGAGAGGCTGGGCAGTTTTCAGGCTGGCCATGCCCCCATTGGGGTCGGGGGACCTCTACTGGGGGTAGGGCCAGCCTGAGTGAAGGGCTGAGGGCCATCTGCATGCCCCCATTGGGGTGGAGGTCCCTGCTGCAGGGTGTGGCCAGCCTGGGTGAGGAGCTGAGAGCTGTTTGCAGGCTGGCCACACCCCCATCGGGGTGGGGGTGGGGGTTTCCGTTGGGGGGCGTGGCCGGCCTGGGTGAGGGGCTGAAGGCCATCTGCAGGCCACCCACACTCCCATTGGGGTGGGGGTCCCCGCTGGGGAGCGGGCGGTCTGGTCGAGGGGCCTGGGGCATTTTGCAGGCTGGCTAGCCCCCTGATGGGGTGAGGGTCCCTGCTGGGGGCAAGGTGGCCTGAGCCGGGGGCGCGGGGCATCCTGGGTGAGGGCCTGGGGGAGGTTTGCAGGCTGGCCAAGCCTCCAGCTCTGTCCGGAAGGTCTCCTGGTCTAATTAGCATATTACTCTTTTATTAGTATAGATACTATTGTAGAGTCCTTCAGCATTAGGGATGAGAGGATCAAGGAAAAACAGATGAAGTAGAGGAAGAAAGAAGAGACAGACCATCACAAACCACTTTCTGCAGAGAAATTGCTTGCCACCTCAATATATAAATATTCAGAATATGTGTGTTAATTTTAAAGGGGTCCCTATCTTAAGAGAATTCACAGGATGTATGGTGATCCGTGTCAGGCAGTAAATCAATTGAAGTCTCATTACAAAGTGCTTTCTGGTTCTAGTTTGGCTTCTAAAATTTAGATGCTCCCTTAATTATGAACACTAGCATAGAAAACTAAATAGAGAAGATCTTCAGCATGGATTTAAGCTTCCTCTTGGAGAAACCAATTCTAATTCATTCAGTTCAACTGATTTGATCGGACTAATTAAAATAAATAAATAAATGACCATGAAGCACTCAAACTCTTCTTTCAAAATACTCTACCACCAGCAGGGAGTAAATGCTTATCTGGGAGTGAGTGTGGTGTTGTGATTTATTAGAAGTATATATTTTTGGTCATTCAGATAACCTAAATATATTTCTCAGATATTTGGTCTTCATCCATGGCTCCTGACCCACAGCTTCCAAACCCCTAAGAATTTTCTAAGTGATGAGAGCAACAAAGGTGCTTCTTATTATGTTAATGAGGTGATTTTTGAACCAAAGGTGGGGCCTGGTTGCTGGTAGGAGGAGCCAACTTTGAGGACAGAGGAATGGAACTTTTAGTCCTATCCCCTATTTTCCAGAGAGGGGAAAGGGCTTGAGGCTGGTAAGTCAACAATGGCCACTGACTCAGTCAATCATGACTAGTAATTAAGCCTCCATAAAAACCCAAAAGGACAGATGGAAGGAGACTTGACTTGAGGTGGTGAACACACTATACAATATACAAAAGATGTGTTACAGAATTGTACACCTGAAACCTATATAATTTTATAACTTTATTAACCAATGTCACCCCAATAAATTCAATTAAAATACCCAAAAGAACAGCCTGGCAGCTCCTTTTCAGAGAACGAGCCACCATGACAGGCCCCAAGCTCCCAGAGGACAGACAGAAGCTCCTTTTGTTTCAGACCTCAGCCTATATCTCTCTTCATCTGGCCATTGATTTGTATCCTTTAATATCCCTTGTAATAAATCGATAATCTAGCAGGGAAAAGGGTTTTCTTGAGTTCTGTGAGCTGTTCTAGCAGATTAATCAAATCCATGGAGGGGGTCCTGGGAAGCCCTGATTTATAGTCTGTCAGTCCGAAGTACTGGTAACATTCTGTACCCGTGACTGATTGGCTTGTGAAGAAGTGTGGAGGGCAGTCTTTGTGGGACTAAGCCCTTTCTTTACCCATGGGAGAGGAATCTGAGCCAGAGATAGCAAAAGTTCCTAAAAAGTATGAAGAATGGGACCCAAAGCACAAGGGGGAGATTTTGGCTTATATAGGAGAGAGAATCTGTCTTCCATTGTAAGAAAAGGGAAGAACTAACACAAAGCATTTGGAAAATCTATTGATAGAAGATTACAGAACTCATGTTGCAACTGTTCTAATTGCTTATACTCTGTCAGTAAATATGAGGTGAGATTACCTGCTGAAAGTGAGAAACGGAGGAGGACATCAAGTTGAGAAAATAAAAAAATAAAGCAGTTATTTTTAAAAGTGAGAAAGTAACTTTACTAGGTACATGTAGCAGGATTGCCAAACACTACTGAGTTCCTATTTGTGGTTTTAACTGTAAAGATGAATTAACATAGGTGTGTATTTTCTTGCCAACTTTTAGCTACTCAGGTTCAGGCAGGAAGTAAATGAGTTGAAGTTTTGCCAAGGAGAAAGAGAGAGACAAGGGACTGATGATAATAAATGACCATGGTTAATAAGGGAAATGAGTTCTTGAACGGTAAAGACAGTGAAAAAGTGGGAGAATTATAGAGTCAATGGATGGGTCTGGGTAAAGCTGAAGTACTGCTAGAGAGTAGGTATGATAGAAAGAGGACAGAGACTGGAATGCTTATCGTCAAAATACTAGAGGAGGTACAGCTGCGTTCTCTGTTTTGTCTTGAACCATCTTATCTGACATAGTCTTATTTCTCCCTTAATCTCATGTATCACGTGGTGTTAACATATTTTCTATGGTGACAACTTCTGAGAATCCTCTGTAACTAGACCCCAGTAAAGTGACAGAGCTTGAGAAATAAACCTGGGCTGACTCCAGTTCTGTCTCTGAGCTATTTGACCTTGGGTAAGCCCTTCAGTTAAAAGGGGCATCTTTCTGCCTCTGAAACTGTAGTTTAACCTAGTACACTTTTCATTCAGGTGTTAGCAATACCTCAAACAAACAAAACAAACAAACAAAAAAGAAGGAATGAAAAGGTAACAATATTGCTATATCCATTTGCCCAGAAGACAACTCCAGGTAAG